GTTACATATTCTGATAGATTGATTGCGATGATACAGAAATCGTTAACTCATTATAGTGCTTAATTTAACTTTTAGCTTGGTCGTCGTCACAGATATATTATAGAAGGTCGTCGTGGTGGCCCGAAGGTTAAGACGCCCTTCTAATGCATGATGGTGCGGGTCCGAAACCGCATCATGCATCACGCACCAAACAGCAAGTACCAATGTGACTTTTCCGAGTTATATGTACTTTCTAAGATTATTTAGACACTACTGACAAACGGTGAAGGAAAACATCGAGAGGAAACTTGAGCTTATAATTTCTAATTATAAGTTTGAAATCGCCAACCCGTAACATGCGTGGTGATTAATGCTCAAACCTTCTCAGTGTGAGAAGAGGCCTTGCTCAGCAGTGGGCATTTATAGGCTGTTGATGATGATGATGATGACTATAGTGCTAGTTACATGTTATTAGTTTGATTGTTTTTTTATATATTTGATGGGCCGACGTTTTACCATTATCTCGCTTAATGGTAAGTTATAAAATTTAAAGCATAAATCTTGGCACAATAAAAAAATTTAGAATTTGACAACATAGGTGACAAATACAGTTCGCAATACATGAAAATCGAACAATAGATATTTAAATTAATATATACAATCTGTACATAGGTAACATAATAACATCTGTAATCCTTAAAAATTCGGCAATGTATTATTAATCTTCTAGTGTCTGGGGTCTGCATGGGCGCCGCTAATTGCTTACCACCATGTAACCCCTCTTCTCGTTTTCCCCTCCCTAAAAATCATTTGATGCACCAAACATTCAAATAATGTAAGAATGTTTTTATAATAACTATCGTGAGACATACTAAACTAAGTAAAATCGCGGGTTACTCACGTGAATATACATACTGAGAAAAGCTCTACTAGTTTCAAACCACAGAGGGGTTCGGAACACACAGTGAGCTGCGCGCGCGACCGCGCACGCTGCTCATGAGGATGACCCTCTGTGGTTCACGTGAGTAACCCGCGATTTTACTTAATGTAAGACACATAACATAACATCACGTCTTTTATCCCCGAAGGGATAAGCAGAGGTGCATATTATGCCACTGTACAATGTACCACCCACTTTTTACTATTTACGTAATGAGTCCCATGTAATAGGGGGTGAGCCTATTGCCATATACCGGGCACAATTCCGAGTCCGTGCTACTACTGAGAATTTTTAAAAACCCAGTAATATTTTGCCCGACCCGGGAATCGAACCCGAGATCCCTTGCCCGGCAGTCGCACTTGCGACCACTCGACCAACAAGGCAATCGTACTTAATGTAAGAATACTTAATATAAGAAATACTTAATGTAAGAATGTGATATTAATTTATTTTATTTATTTATAATTTGGACAACCAGTAGTTGCTACATTAGGTCTTATATCTAAGCACTTACATTGTAGTAAATTTTAAATGCACAACATTTTAAGGTGTCACAACATGCACAGTAGCCTAACGATGACACTTTTAAATAATTTGATATAATCTGCAACGTCTTCATCTCTTCTCACTGATGAGTCAGCAACACGCAAGGTTTAGTAAGCAAAAGTACTCCATGAAAACAAAACATTTAGTACTTTACATTACTAAAACCCGAATGTGCAATGATACTTGGATCTTCTCTCTTCTCTTGTCTTTTGTTTATTTTTCTTGAGATACATACACACAACTTAATATTTGAACATGCTTTACTGACTGACTTATAATTTTACACCTCTATAAATATTGAATTATAAAGTTTTTATAATAAGATGAACATAAACACCAGTAAGTACAGAATGTTTATCTTGTTTGTGTAACACACTATGTGTCTCAGTGTAGTTATTTCTTTTCCTGCCACAGGCCCACAGGAAGAAATTCCAGTTGGAATATGTGGGGCCTATGTACTCTGTTTTTTTATTATGTATTGTCCTCTTGAATGTGTGTACATAAATAAATAAATGTATTTTTTTTTAAATAAACGCTGATCCGCTCCAGTATTTGCTCCTATGTCGTGGATGCGTTTACAAGCATACAAGTTCACATACACAATGACACCCGGACCCGAAACAACAATTTGTGGATCACACAAAGACTTGCTCCGTGCGGGAATCGAACCCGCGTCACGTTGCGCGAAAGCCAGTTGCCCTGGTACCGCGCCAAATATGCAATCAGATTATTATACAGTATTTACTATAAGGAACGTTTAAAATTATAAATTGTAAACACTAATAAAATAAAACATCACGCCTATTTAATAAAACTAAAAATAAGTGAAATAGGTAACTTTGGATACATCTCCTGACACGAGTTTAGCTTCGTGTATTCACTTGCACATTTACGCTAATTTTATGTTAGTAGGACAAATCAAAGTATACCACTTTACTTAGTTAAGCCTCAGATTGCGTGCCAGGCAGGCAATCTCTCTTTACTGATGGACAGATAAACTGCCAGACACCAGATAGCCTGGCATATTCTCCATTTGTAATTAGTTCCGTTCGCTCCGTGCGTGTAGACTTTGCGGTGACCTACAGTGTACGCTTAGCCTATGAAATGCATAGTCATTTTGAATTGAACGACTTTTAATATCTTAAGGAGTAGGTAGAGGTGCACATAATGTAATGTCACATTGCCATTTACCGCTCGTTTTTAGCCATACACCACTGGTGCATAATTCTAACCTCCTTGCTTATTTATAAAAAAAATCGGAAGGCCCTCTTTTTGACCCCGATTTCGGCAATTGCGGTTGTGGCAGCCCGATGATTGTAACAATCATTAGTTATTATAGTATTAAATACACATTAAATTATTATGAGAATCATAAAACATGTTAGGAATTTTTACTTCGATATATACTAGACGAATCTAAGGCTAATGAAAGAATTATTTTGTATACAATCATAGTGTTGTATGCGTGCTTAAAACCGCCTTTATCCATAAATAAAGATATTATATTTGGTAAGTCATATTTGTACTTAAATGCAAAACACACTTTCGACCGAATACTGAAAGGTTACTCATATTTAAGTTGTAATTATATATCATGCCGCCTCTGTGATTTTATAAAGAATTTGTAGTGAGAGAACTGTCTTAAGCACATCTTTAAATTGAGTAGCGTTTGAGTATTTCGGCGTTTGCACTATAAACTCATTGTGACAAAAGCCAAATACTCGAGTGCTTTTATGACTTTTGAAACGTCATAAAATATGACATGATGACTTTCGATAAGTGTTTGTTCTAACTTAAATTTATTGGTCTCTAGTTTATGGACATGTAAGTGCAGTTGTTGCACACGAGGTAAGCACGATTCTAATGGCATCGATAAAGCCGATGAATCGAGTCGAATCGATACACGTTCGATTTTAATCGAGTCCGTAATAAGATAATAATATTTGCGATATTTTAGAGCCCCATACTTCATCATCGTCAACACCATATCAGCCATAAGACGCCCACAGCTGAACATATGCCTCCCCAATGGTTAGAAAGAACCTGCATCCGGAATACTTACCTACTGTAGGAGCTCTAAAACATACCTTATCAATTACCTTTGGTTAGTGAATGCAAAGCGCAGTGTAGAAATATGTATCATTTTAAGAATATCGTATTAACCAATTAGGGCGACGTTTTAGATACCTTAATTAAGACCTACGGCTTACTCACGTAACTTAGCGAAATAAGTCGAATAGTTTCAAGTCACACTGGGGGCCCACACCCATAGTCATATGCGACAACCGATTCGGCTAGCGTGGCATAGTTAAGGCTTTGACTGCCAATAGAAAACTAGCTGACGTAGGTCACCGGTGACCCCCATGGCGTTTAATGTGTTAAATGTGAGTAAGCCGCATAATATTTCATAAATATACCTTTTAAAATCTTATTATTAATATACATTTTCAGTTTAACAATTTTTCCTGTCTTATGTGAGTGTAAGCGGCGCAAAATTATGGTAATATAGCTTTTTATATTGATTGTAAGTGAAACAATGTTGCGTGGTGTGGCTTTGCTCACGTAAGGCAGTTATTATGAGGTTAAACTTTTGGTAATTGACGATGTTTTTACTTTAATATAATATTGTAGAGGTATAGGTAATACACTATTAATTAGCATGGATTTTTGTGAGAAATTGAAAGTATGAAGGTTTGTAGAATTTTAAAGGACATGGAATTAGGTTCGGGGAGTTCGAAAGGATATGTATATATATGGATGAGTGGAGCAATTGTCTTGTACATTCGATAACACTGCTCTTTTACAATAACCAGTATTCCGGAAATTATTACTGATAGTTAGTTAAATTATTACTGCCGATTTTAGATCTGTTTTGTGTTTTCGAGCAATGCAAATATTGTTATGATGCTTTATTTTATTTATATGTTCATTAAAATAATTGATATATCATGAAGTGTTTCTTAGTATAAGTCAAATGTAAAGTCTTTCTAAGTTATTAATTTCCAAGATAAGATCGAGACCAGAGATTTAATAAATAAATAAAATAAAATCTTTTTGTGTCAGACATATTGGGTCCATACATTAACAGTTTATTATCTTATATATATAAAAGAAAGTCGTGTTATTTACACTATTTATAACTCAAGAACGCCTCAATCGATTTAGATGAAAATTGGCAGGGAGGTAGCTTAGAACCAGGAGACGGACATAGGATACTTTTTATAGAATACTTTTTTTTTCTTTTTACCGAAAATTACGAACGGGAACGGGGGGAAAATGGGATTGCGCGTACGAAGTCCGGGCAGAAGCTAGTTATTAAATATATATATTCTTAATTAATTAAATGTATTACATTATAACACTGCATTATCAACCTTTTTTTTATTTGATTTGTAGGAGTATATAGGACGAATGTCAAATGAGAAAGAAAGTATGAAAATTCAATCTAAAGGTATTTTCACTACCATCGTCAATTACCAAACCAGTCTTAGCTTAGATGTGAGTGTAGGCGAAGCTGCGTGCGTACCTAACTCACCGTCATGCATGGGATCGATGGTGTGTATCATGAGCTGCAGCAGACCGTGACGGAACTTGGCGGCGGGCGGCGGCCCCTTGCTGGGTCCCGCTGACGTCGCCGCTGCGGTTGCCGTGTTCGTCCCCACCGATGTTTCGCTTGATGTGGTCGCGTTGCCGTGCTGTGAAAGAATTTTTTAATTTAGTTTGATCGTTTTAGGTATGGTTAGTGCTGGTTATGTGTTTATTTAGGGGTTTTGGTGTACCTTGTGACTTAGATATATATTTATTTTAATTAAAAGTTGTGTATTAAATGAATAAATTAGTAACATAACCTAAAATTACGCTTTTTATCCCCGAAGGGGTAGGCAGAGGTGCACTGTACAATGTAACATCCACTTTTCACTATTTATGTAATGAGTTCCATGTAATAGGGGGTGAGCCTATTGCCATATTACCGGGCACGATTCCAGACTACGTGCTACTACTGAGATTTTTTTTAAAGCCTAGTAATACTTTGCCCGACCCGGGAATCGAACCCGAGACCCCTTGCCCTGCAGTCGCACTTGCGACAACTCGGCCAACGGGGCAGTTTGGTCAACGAAATAAATTAGGTGATTTTATATTACTTATAGATTTTTTATTGTATAGGGATGTGCTTTGTAGTGTGGTGTGCGTTCGATCTTTAGGATAAGGGTAGAAACAAGAATAAGGACGCATCCTTAACACCGACTTTGCCTTTTAATAATCTTTTTGCTTATTTCCTTATTTTTTATACAGCTACACATATGAGCAATAAACAGAACGGTGTACTATTGTTCTAAGAATGAAATAGAACAAAGAGGGACAAGTAACAGACGCGGACTGAACTCCTTTATTATTATTATTGCCTTTATTTATTACTTTTACTAGGTTTTTTTTTTTAAATTTCAGTAGTAGCATGGAGCCATGAATGGTGCCCAGTATATGGCAATAGGCTCACCCACTAATATATGAGACTCATAACATAAATAGTGAAAAGTGGGTGTTACATTGTTACAAAGTACACCTCTGCCTACCCCTTCGGGGATAAAAGGCTTGATGATATGTATGTAATTTTACAATACAAGCTGGAATCAAAAGAGTTGTAATTAAAAATCCGTTGGTTTCACATCCAATGGCGATCGTACACCATTTAATTGGCTTCGAAGGCAATCATACTGGTCCAATCTACCAATGTATCGGCAGTCGAGACCAATATTTCAACACTTGTGTAATTGCTATATCGGTTTTTTAAACAAATTGTTTTTACCATCCGTTGGCAACGGATTTATTTTGTAAACTGGGAACAATATTTTTACCAATATTTTTATAATAACATACTTAACATAGCATAACATCACGCCTTTTATCCTCGAAGGGGTAGGCAGAGGTGCACATTATACCACTGTACAATGTAACACCCACTTTTCACTATTTATGTTATGAGTCCCATGTAATAGGGGTGAGCCTATTGCCATATACCGGGCACAGTTCCAGACTCTGTGCTACTACTGAGATTTTTTTTTAAACCCAGTAATACTTTGCCCGACCCGGGAATCGAACCCGAGACCCCTTACCCGGCAGTCGCAATTGCGACAACTCGGCCAACGAGACAGTCTATTTTTATAATAACTATCGTGAGACATACTAAATTAACTAAAAGTCGCTAGCAGATATATTAAATTTATTAAAAATCGCAGGTTACTCACGTGAATATATTAAGAAAAGCTCTACTAGTTTCATATAACAGAGGGGTTCTTCCTTATGAGCAGAGTGCGCGGTCGCGGCGATGTCGCGCAGCCTACTCTAGTAGATCTTTTCTCAGCATATTCATGTGAGTAACCCGCGATTTTTAGTTTATATTTCTACCAGTCTTATGATTTAGTTACTTTTTTATTAAAGGTCGTATTAGTCTACTGCTGAACTTTGAGCTTTTTCTACAAAAGAGGTTTGTCATATGTAGTATATATTATATTATATATAGACTCCGTGCTACTGGCAATAGGCTCACCCCCTATTACATGAGACTCAGACAAAGTGTAACTAACATGGCTTTCTTTTATACATATACTAGCTTCTGCCCGTGACTTTGTACGCGCAATCCCATTTTCCCCCCGTTCCCGTTCGATAAAAAGTAAAAAAAAGTATTGTATAAAAAGTATCCTATGTCCGTCTCCTGGTTCTAAGCTACCTCCCCGCCAATTTTCATCTAAATCGATTGAGGCGTTCTTGAGTTATAAATAGTGTAACTAACACGACTTTCTTTTATATATATAGATATAGATTTATTTATTTATTTACCATTATAGTATTATAGTGTAAATAAATAACTAAAACTAGTCAACAAATCCTATTAAAACTTATTAAAAATCTAACAAAAAGTTACTGAATAAGTAACTCACACTGCAGTAAGATACTTATCTTCATTTTAATTCAGTGCACTGAAGCGCAGCTCGAGTACGACTGAGATATTTCTTCAACTAAGTTTTCAGTTAAGTTACTTGTACGATGTACGTACTTGTTGTAACTTAGCGTTGGTTGCTTAAGCTCTCACTCGGTGTAAAGTGGTCGCGAGTTCTGAGGCGAAGTGATTTTTTTAGGCGAAGTGATACGATGTGTTTTTTAGTTTTATTATTTTTTACACATAAGTTCATATTATTAGGTGTTGTCTTGTGATCTAAGACGTAAATGTCTATATATGTTACTGGCTGTTGTTCGCGACTCCGTCCGCGTAGAATGTGATTTATCTCATGGGAACATTTAATCGGGATAAAAAGTCCTATCACCTAAGTCAGCCTATACCCTGCCTGTATACCAAATTTTATCAAAATCCGTTCAGTAGTATCAGCGTGATTGACGGACAAATATCCAAACAAAAAAACTTTCACATTTATAATATAAGTGTGATTATTTAAGAGGGATAGATTTGGCAGAGATTTTTTTTAAGGGGGACAATCATCGAATGACTGCTCCCGCCTGGGTAAGGAAGCAGATTGTCAGGCTCTTAATGAATAAAAACCACCCCGTTCCTACTCCTGCACTTCGAGCCGAAGCCCCGGTAACCCGTTAAGCTCTCCGCGACTCCGTATCGGCATCAGCCCTATTGGGCTTCATCTATGGTGGTCTGATGGCTCTTTAATTTTCGTACAATTTTCATTTGTTAATTGTGTTGTACTTGAAAGGGGAGGGTGGGTAATTGGGCACCCGGTAACCTCACTCACACGACGAAGCACAACGCAAGCGTTGTTTCACGTCGGTTTTCTGAGGCCGTGGTATCACACCGGTCGAGCCAGCACATTCTGTTATGAACAAGGCCTTATTGTAAATTCTAATCTAATCAATCCTTACATTGTTATTAACAAAGAACCATACTTATAAATTATATTCTAATCAGTCCTTACATTGTTGTTAACAATGAATTACTATACTTTAAATTGCAATCTAAACAATCTTCACATTGTTGGTAACAAAGATCTATACTTTTAAATTACCACCTAAACAATCGTTATATTGTTACTAACAAAGATCTAAGCACTCTTACATTGTTATGAACAAAGCCCTATTCATGTAAATTGCAATTAAAGCAATCGATACATCCTGTGGCACTTATACGCGCAAGTATAATTTATCGACTAAGGGATAACCCCCCACCATTGGCCATATAGAATAAAATATACGTCTTAGTTGTGTATAGAGTCACTCCAGATAAAGTTATTCAACTATTAACACCGTTTTATATCACACAGTAATTATTGTAAGTCGAAAGTTGTGAAGTGAAAATAAAGAAATTATTAGCAGCACTTGTGGTGTCATTTATAAAAGGGACTCCCGGAGCGCCATCCTAACAATTCGTTTTTATGACTCTTTCGATACCCTGCGGGAAGAATAGGGGTGGCAAATGTATTCTACTTTAGCGTAACGACACGGCTAAGATTCATCAAGATAGATACATACATAGCCTTGCATATGAGTTCCTCTCATTACCCCCATTCGCGATTTGCAAGTTTAATCAAACATGTTGAAATCGCTCGGCGTCTTGTCAAGTAAAGCGCGCGAAGGTATCCAACTGCACTAACTTTGTCGCGACATAACCATTTGATGTTCAGGAATTTATTAACAACGGTGTAAAATTCGTACGTAAAACCCTTGTTCGCGTAGATGATTCGCGATACGATGTTTTTTTTGGCTAAACGTGTCCACAATAAGGTCTTCGTGTCTCCTTCAAGCGAGCAGTTCTACCTAATTTTAAGTTTGATTGGAAACTTATATATTTATGTCACTCTATCTGTTTAACCTCTTTCGAAAATGTTTAACAAACTTTTATATCTTATACTATTATATAAAGCGGAAGAGTTTGTTTTTTGTTTGTTTGTTTAAAAGCGCTAATCTCCGTAACTACAAGTCTGATTTTAATAATTATTTTTGTGCTGGATAGCGTATTTATTGAGGATGACTATAGGCTAAAACATCACGCTACGACCAATAGGAGCTGAGCAGAGCGTGTGAAAACGCGTGGAAGTAGCTAGTCTCGACATGCTTATGCATTGTGCATGCTTGGGCTGATGCCCATACGGAGCCGCTGTGCATGCTCGGGCTGATGCCAAAACGGAGCCACAGGGGCTCTGACTCAAAAGTGCAGTAGTAGGAACGGGGTGGTTTTTAGTCAGTAAGAGTCACTCCCTGTCATCTCACCCGGGTGGGAGAAGTCTGATTTTCCGCCCTCAAAAAAAACCTCGACTTATTGCGTATGGAAAACAGTTTCATTCAAAATTGGTTTAGTATCTAGTTTCCATGAATTTGATTATGCTAAAAGTTAGCATGAAAACCTATGTCGCGGAAACACTCAAGTAATACATAGTTTAGAATTCAACACCCAAAATATATTCCTCAAGTCAAGGAACCGCCATCAAGATAATAAATACAGTAATTCTTGGACACAAACACTATCTGTGTTCTGATATTCTCTGTAATCGCACAGATAATGCAATATTTTATTCAGGGTTATCACTTTAACTTTACAGTTTTATTTGTAATCTTTTTATTCAATTGGTAGAGTTATGTAACTATAGCATTACGATTTTAAATTCATATAGTGACAGTATAGCACATCTACAGTATTTCACTGGTTATGTCACAAGCTAGGATAAATCCTCGAAGGGGTAGGCAGAGGTGTACAATACAGCACTTAATGCCACTGTACAACATAAAACCCACTTTTCACTATTTATGTTATGCGTCCTATCTAATCGGGGGTGAGCCTATTGCCATATACCGGGCACTATTCCAGACTCTGTGCTACCACTGATTTTTTTTAAACTACTATTACTTTGCCCGACCCGTGAATTGGACCCGAAACCCCTTGCCCGGTAGTCGCACTTGCGACCACTAGGTCAATGATGCAGTCGGGCAACAAAAACGTTAATGTTAAAATATGTTTTTAATATATTACATTCTGTAACAACCCTAGCGCCCTCTGTTAGTGATCGCCGTACTCTCGATAGACACTTAAGGCCGCCCTACAGGTCTAATCGTCGCATTAATCGCCCATTACTTCGGCGATAAAAATTCGTTTACGATTTTTTAATTCAATGGTCGTTCTGTTTCACTGTCCTTCGGGAATGGGTCCTAGAAGTGTTCGCATCGTTTTTTTTTAATGTTTTATTTTCTTGTGATATATTTTTTCTTGTTATTCACGTTTTAATTTTAATGTTCTTTTAGCGACACTAACATAGCGTGCGATTGCAAACACATTAAAATATTTTGAGCACATACGAAAAATTATTCCATGCGGGAATCGAACCCGTGACATATAGTGCAGCAGTTATTCTTCCAGTTAGTCTACCAATGAGATCTGTATAAAAAGTTTATAGGATTTTTTTTACATTCTCACTTTTTTTCATTGCTGCTTGCACTTACTTATACGTTTAGTTTTTATTACTACTATTCGATATTAAAGTTCCAAATGATTTTACATATCAACTCTTGTAGAAGCCTACACCTTAACTGAAAATTCAGCTACATAACATTTTCATTTCAAGCACTCTTCTTTCAGATATCCTTGTGAATATTCAACAACCATCGACCGATTTTGAAGTATTTGTTACATTTGAATTATTGCTACAGAGTATCCTGAAAACCAATTCAACCTGTTTCACAAAACATCTTCGTTGTAAATACCTCAGTGATTTCAGAAGTATCGTTGACTTGACGAGTCCGACTTCGTAGCTCCTGCTACGAATTTTGCTACGCATTCGTAGGCATCGTAGCAGGCGACTACGGCGTAGCGATTACGAATTTTTATTTTGAGCTGTAGAGGTGTTGTTTTTTAAATGAATACCTTTATTCAATTCATTTCATCATAATCAGCCTGTAGACATTCGCTGCTGAACAGCATTATTATTACTCTGTTTAGATTTTTATTTCTCTAATAACTGTTTATATAATTTGTAAAATAGTTTGAGAATGTAAATATATGCAAATTAACTCGTCGAGTATCGTATTTATACCTCAGACACAATTAAAGAACAATAGGTTGCGGTCACCGGTGACCGCTTGGTGTTTGACAGTTTAATACAAACAATAAGGACGCAAGTCTATTAAAGTTTTTAGTAGTCTGATTTTTTTTTGTAAAAGAGTATATTTGACAATAAATTATATTTGAATTATGAAAAATAATTACAAAGAGTACTATTATAACATCTTCGTCATCAAGACTTAAAAAGAACAACGCCGCCACACCACATAGCGACATCTGTTGACGAGCATGGAAAAGTACACAATAAAATCAATAACAATAAATTATTATGTAACTAATTATACTATGATAATATAATTAATTAGGTAGCTCGCCCGCTTTTTGAAAAAGGGATTATCTAATAATCTAATGTCAAATGTTGACTAATTTCAGATTCTAGATCATGCTTCTAATGATCCTTTCACACATTGGAACCTGAAGCCTCAAGGCTTTAGTCGCTGGCCACGCTAGAGGGGCGCGTCTTGCGTCTGTGATAAGCGAAAAAACAATCATACGCATTGAACGGGGGCGGCCATGTTGGCGCGACTAGTATCCCCCGATCAATTCGCATGTTTATTTTTCCAGCTCATCGTAGACGCAAGATGCGTCGCGCCATCATGGCCTGCGACTTAAAAGCCAATGAAATCCATCCAATGTGCTAGGGCTCAAAATAATCTAGAAATCTAGACGATAGACTGATTAGGATGCAAAGTTAAAAAAAGTATAAAATGATAGACGAGATAATAATGTAGTTTAGAAAATCTAAGTGAAGTTACAAATTATATTCTAAAAAATATTTAGTACTCAAGTTACTTACTAAGTTGACGATGGATTTAAATATATTTTGATTATATATGTATGGGTATATAAGTGTATATGTTATGGCATTACTGTTACTGATGTTATGGATGTAGAGTCTACATGATTCTACATAATAATGTTGAACGATTATGTATATATGTATTAAAATTTTTCACACTCCCCCATTACTATTAACTTTTCTTCTGACTTACTCGACGACGTATTGAAAAAACAAAAAGACGTAGACATCAACTTTAGTATATTTTTAAACAGTGATTATTTTACTATCCCCATTGTAATAAGTACATATGTAGTTGTTATATATGTTTATATTGTCTGTGGCAAGCCGGCCGCTTTCAAGAGTGGAAACCTATTTATGTTGTTCTTTTGTTTTGTGAAATATATTCAGTGTGCTTTTGACTAGTTTGTTTAATTCACACGTAAAATAATTACTACCTACATAAAATATTGAAAATTAATAACAGTTAACTAAAAATCGCGCGTTACTCATGTGAATAAACTGAGAAAAGCTCTACTAGTTTCGAACCACAGAGGGGTTCTTCCTCATGAGAAGCGTGCACGGTCGCGGCTATGTCACGCAGCCTACTAAACTTAACAGGAGTGAATGTATTATTTTGGAGAAAAAACATTCCTGCCGTTACTGAAAAAAATATAACAGAAACCCGGAAAAAATCGTAATCTGAAGATTCTCATGCTCAACAGTGGCATTTGCAATCATTCTATAGATACGATAAGATAATGTAACATTATCATAAACTTTAAATCAAATTCCGGAAAAACCCAGTGAAAATACAGCTTTTCATACCGAAAATTAAAGCACAAAATACGTTACACAAAAATATATACAAAAAACTACCACAAGACGAAAGTATAAGAAACTTTTTAAAAGTTAAATTGGTAACTAGATATAGTTAGTTATAGTTTGACCCGCATCGATACTGTATTGGACAAACTTGTCAATTGTACAGTTTCAGTGATGAAAACTTTATATAGAGCACTCGTGGGTATACAGCTTTAAATACTAGGGAACTATGTGATCTAGGTACAAATTACTTTAGAATATATGCCATACATGGCGAATACACTCAGAGTCTCAGATAGCGAATAACTGTTAGTATTTTTACTTGTCTGTGTTTTTGTTTATTTAGGTTTGTATATTTATATATTGTTTTACTACCTGCCTCAATTCAATTAGGATTTTAAATATTAATTTGTAAGTGAAACAAGTGGCAAGTGAAACAAGTGAATTTATTTCTGCAAATAGGCTACAAGGCAGCACTTTTACACGTCAATTTTATCAAACGAACGATGAGGTCGACATTTCCTAACTGACTACTCTGAGAAGAAATGCTGAAACAAACTCAGAGGTCCGTATCTTTTAAAGTCCAGACAATATTAGTATGTATTGTAGGTCAAAACGGTATTATATGTAGGTCATATACCTATCTTAACACCATTGCATGTACACTTGTAATGTTACTTATGTATCACAAATATGTTCGTAAATTCGAGTTCCATAGCTTGTATGTTGATTTGGAACCATTAATTTAATGGTTGGACTGACTTCCCTGTGTCTTAGAGTATGTAATCAATGTCATCAAATGAAATTTTGGCATAAACGGATTACAAGTATGTGTTGCTCTCGTCCGTGCGTCACTGCAGGGGTGTCAACTGAAAATCAGTGTTGGCTGCTAAAGTGTGCCCAGCTTTTTGCTGAGTGGGCGACCCATTCGGATTGGGCATGTCCGCCGACACTGCGTAGTACCTGCTATTATTAATTTTTATAATGTAGCTTATTATCGTTTTAATTTCTTTCTGTTTTTAAACTTTTTTTAATTGCTGTTATTTGTTATAATGTATATAATTATTTTCTTGTTGTTCCTGGCGTGCATTCATTTCATTTCATTTGTTAATTCAAATTGTGACTTATTTGTATTCGACAGAAATAAGAATTTAAGTAAACGATTTCAGTGGCAAAATAATTATTTTATTTAGCACGCATACTCGCAACAATACGCCATTCAGAGGATTATTTTCATAACTATTATTACCTATTAAGTCTGCAATGAAGCTGTATTATTTTATTAGCTTAATTATTATTTACGCCCGCAATAATAACTTGCATTTATTTAATACATTATTTAATTACTGATTTTATGCTTTTTGAATGGTAATTACTGAATTTTAAATTAATTAATTTTATTGGCTTTTGTTGGGGGAGAGACTGTAGGGAAATGAATATTTAATGAAGTTCCATATACGATTCCGTGGTTAGTGAAAAGTATTATATTATTTTTTATCTTTAAGAGTATGAGAACTTATATTACTACTATAAAAATATTTAGAAAATGTATTACATTATTCTGAAACCTTAAGTTAATTGAGAATATAGAAATTCTTAAATAGATTCTGTAATTTATACATTTAACATTGCAATTTTTTGCAATCATATTTAATTTTTAAAGTAATTTAAAGTAAAACTTATTATGGGCGTTGTTATGCATTTAATTTCAATCTAAGAATTATTTAAAAGTGTTCCTGGCATACAGTTTTTGTTTCGTTCAGGTCAAGAGACAGTTTGAAAAGACCTTCAACAATTCTAGGTTATATTTTTTATTTTTTCTTTATTTAGAGGAATTTCACAAATGAGCCTTAAATCTAAACTCATTGCTATGTACTAACCATTGTAAAAATCAACAATATTACATTGTACAATGCAAAAATGGAACTCAAGGCAACAAATACAAACAGCATAAATAGTAAACCTACACAAACATAGAACTATTTATTTAATACGAATCTTCGTTCAGGCCAACGAGTATTAATGTGGTACATTCAAGCCGCCCAAGGGACATTCACATTAACCTATACAAAACTAGTATATCATGGTCTCTGTTTATACAATCTTTCTGTACACTCAACGGCCAGTGTACACTGGTTATGTATAGCTTGATCTGTTCCCAAGGGACTCATGAACTAACTGTGGCGTAGGGAATAGCTCAAATCGACGTATACATTTTATAGCAGGCTCCTGAACTGTTTCATGAACCTGAAGGTTTATAGTTTCAGGTTTGTGAATTATTGTTGTTGTTTATATGTGTGTTTCAGTTTTAGTTTTTGATTGTAGTGCTGTTATTATTATGTGTTATTTCTTGATTGGCTTACGATTAATTATTTTCTTTTATACATATAACATCACGCCTTTTATTCTCAAAAGTGTAGGCAGAGGTGGACATTACGGCACTTAAAGCCACTTTACAATGGAACACCCATTTATCACTGTTTATGTTATGAGTCCCATGTAATAGGGAGTTAGTTTATTGTCATATACCAGGTCCAAAATCCAGACTCCGTGCTACTACTGAGATTTGCACTCAGTAATATTTTGCACGACCTGGGAATCGAACTCGAGGCCCCTTGCCTGGCAGTCGCAGGATAGACCACTAGGCCAACAAATCAATTCATTTATTTTATATTATAGATGTAGATATAAATACGAGTCTCACTATTATTATAAAAACATGACCTTAAAATGACATTTTTGACAATGTGTCAATGTTATTTTTATATTTCCAAAAGTTGTTAAAAATGACAATATAAAAAACTGATATTTTTTAACACCACGTTATATATTTGGACTTGTATCTTTTTTATTTTTGCACGTACTTTAAATGTCGCTGCTAAAAATACAAAATGTCTGCCATATCCCCAATTATTTGAGGTCGGTGAAATATATTTATTTCTAGCATTCATCCCCTCTATCTATCATCTCTGCTTTCACTTTTACTGTACCCATATCAACGTTATTTTATAATAATACAAATAGTTACATAATCTACATAGATAAATAAATTTGAAGGGTGTTTGTGATAGTAAAATAACCGCTTTTTACTACATACATATGAATAATACACATACCAAAACAATTTTTACAATTTCTGTCTGTTTATTTGTACTGGTTAATCTTTGGAAGGGCTGGACCGATTTTGCAAGACTTTTGTTGTCAGATAGCTGATGTACGAAGAAGTAACAAAGGCTACTTTTATTTTGGATAATAGTACAAACAAAAGTTATGTTGTAAAATTCCTATTCTACGCAAACGAAGTCGCAGGCAACAGCTAGTGATATTGTAAGTATTGTCTCGACGTACATAAATAACGCCACTCCTGTTTAATCCCTGAAAGGGTAGACAGAAGTGCACATAAACTGTGTAACACGTTTTTCTAGCCACGTTATGCAAGGAGCGTATCTAATACATGGGATTGATTGGGTGAGTATATTTATCATACAATTCTAGGTTTATCACCAAAACCTTCAACAATTCAATCATTAGCTTCTACCCCAATATGAATTTACAACCACACTATGTACCTACATAATTTTTAATAACACCAGTTCACAGCTCATTAACTCGGAGGCCGGTGTTTGATCATCAGCTATGTGACATAACGGGCTTATCTCCAGCCGATTTGAGACAAAACCCTCACACTGCCCCATATCATTTGAATAAGCCACTTATAATGAATTCAAGTGGTCTTATCTTCCATGAAATGTGGCATAATTACATGAATTTTGTTAAGTGAAGTGATTTGGGAGTGATCCGTACTGAATGAAACACATTTTTGAAAACCTTGTTGGTAAATTTGTTTCATTTGTGCTATGAAAAGTAATTAGTTAAGCAATTTTTAATAAGTACAGTGCTATTTTTAATTTCTTTTTGAGGAGGAAAACCATACAATGACTTCTCCCGCCCCGTTCCCACTCCTGCACTTCGAGCCGGAGCCCCGGTAACCCTTTAAGTTCTCCGTGGCTCCGAATCGGCATCAGCCCTATTGGGCCCCATCTGTGGTGGTCTGATGGCTTTTTGAGGCGCGCGCGGAACGCGACGCGCCGTATGTTCGGGTCTGGTTCTGGTCGGGCGGCGAGTCACCCATGCTCGCCGTCCGCAGGCCCGCGCTTACGGTGGCCGGAGATAGTTCCGCGATCAAACGTATACTGATCTAGAACAGCATCTGACGTATGATTTACTGTCATATTAACCACCACTCACATTGAATGAATAATATCAGACACGAAATGTAAGTGTCGCTGACTGGTTCTTTCATACCAGTAACGATTATAGTCTATTATCTTATTTTGCAATAAATACTATCCCCAGCTAGGTCATGAAAACTAGTCTACCGTGGCTGTAAATTAGTCGAGTTATCTCGCCAAAGAATTACGTTAGTACGATGTTAAACATAATTTATAATTAAATACTCGGTTCGTCTGCTAAGAGAGCTCTCATAACAGAGCTGGCAAACACGCATGTACCTACGCCTTTTGGAAAACAAAAGATATGATTTAAAATCATATCTATGTTAATCCTACCACTACATATCTCTTAAAAAGTTAACATACTAACAACTAAACTATGTTCTCAGTTAAAAGCTGAGCCACTCAATTAAGTTTCACTGAAAGTTGTCAACCGTATTACTAGTTGGTCGCGTCTCAAGTTAGCTAGACTCCGCTCTCGGGGGAATCGAGCTGTTAGACTAGACGGACTAAGTTACTACAGTTTGTGCTTTAAATCTGGCCTGGAGTGGGCATTTTCATGTTATGATAGCCTGTCTTGTTTGTGTAGCTTAGTGAGGGCAAGGTTTTAGGGGTGAGAAGTAGGTTGGCCTTACTATTTTGTGGTGGTGAAGTTATAATACAATGAGTATCCAATCTTTAGATCAGTTAAGGAGTAATTTTTTTATCAAATAAGCTGGTAAACGAGCGGACGGATCATCTGATGGTAAGCAATCAGCGTCGCTCATGGACACCCGGAACACCAGAGGTGTTATAAGTACGTTACTGGCCTTTTAGGGATAAGGAATTTGAGAATTTTTGGGATTGGGGAGATTTGGGGGGGAATTTGGCCTCCGGTAACCCAATCGCAGACACTACGCAAGCGTTGTTTCACGCCGGTTTTCTATGAGGTCACCGGTCGAGCCGGCCCGTTCATGCTGAAGCAACGCTCTCCCACACTTATTTAATCATAATTTCCAAAATTTATAAGGTTTTATTTTTGAAGTTGAAATCTTAGGATC